TATCGGCTGTCTGTATATACCGTCAGCTTTTTCCCCGCCCCTAAGGTAAGAGCTTGGGTGAGCGTTATCAGTTCGGCCTTCTGGGCCGATGTCCCTGGGGGCAGGGGTTCCGCCCAGATTACCTTAGTCTCTGAAGTCACTGCCGCTCCAGCGTACCTCTGGTCCTGATGCATGAAGCTGCTCCCATCAGTGAACCAGACAAGGTTGGCGTCAGGAAGTTGGCGGTCCTGCAGGTCTTCTCGAACTCCGTGCAACTGAGTTAGTATCTCGGTGCAGTCGTGGAATGGGGCGTCCAGGTCCGGGTTGGGCAGCAGTGAGGCAGTCTCTTACCCAGTGGCTAGCCTCCTTGTAGTAGGCACATTGGTCTTTTCTCAGATTATCATGCCTGGGGGGGCTGCCTAGGTTGGGTGTACTCTGGCTGTAGATGTTTTTTCTGTACTACTGCTGCCAGGACCTTGGTTCAGTGGCCTTAAATTGCCTTTCCTCTGGAGTATCTCTGTTATTATAAACCCACTGGGCTATCTGAAGGAGGTCCTGAATCCGCTTTCCTTCCGAGTCTTTTAATTTTTGGAGTTTTTTTAATATTTGGGGCTGCCTGATTTACGAAAGACATTACAACAGCTGCCTGACTTCCTGGAGCCTCTGGATCTATGGGGGTGTACTGTCTAAAAGCTTCCATTAATCTTTTTAAGTAGGTGGCTGGGCTCTCTGTCTTTCCCTATAGAATAGAATATACTGTGGCCAAATTAGTGGGCTTGCGAGCAACTGCCCGGAGACCTGCCATTAGAGTCTGGCGATAAAGGTGTAGCCGTCCCCTACCTTCTGCCGTGTTGTAGTCCTACGCCGGCCTGGTCAGAGGAAAAGTCGCGTTTATGAGGTCAGGGTTGGCAGTCGGTTGACCGTCGTCCCCCAGGACCAGCTTTCTGGCTTCTACCTGTATTCTCTCTCGCTCCTCCGTGGTAAACAAGATTCGGAGGAGCTGCTGACAATCGTCCCAAGTGGGCTGGTGGGTGAACATGACACTATCCAGTAAAGCCAGTAAATCTTTGGGGTTGTCTGAAAACTTAGCACTCTGCGTCTTCCAGTTATACAGATCACTGGTGGAGAATGGCTAGTACTGGAGCCTGGGGATTCCTGTGTCATCTGGGGGTCCTATTTCCCAAAGGGGTAAAGCCACCGTGGAGTCAGGCGGCTGGGGGGGTGCTAGTTCGTGAAGTGCGCCCTCGTGTCCGCCCTGCCGGCCCTTCAAAGTTACTTTCCTTTTCAGCGGGCCCGTGAGTGCCGGCCGCCTCCCCTCCGCCTGCTCCTTCCCTCTATCCTTCTCTCTAATCTTTCCGTTTCTGTCCAAATCTTTGATTGACAGACTCACAGGGTCTTTTCTTTAAGTCTCTATCTCATTCGCGCGCGCTCTCTCTCTCTCTCTGTCATCCTGTGTCCTTTCTCCTTCACACTCAGTCTCTTTCTCTTTCTGTCTCTCTAACTCTCCACGTCTGCCGTTTCCTCCCCTTTCTCTTTCCGATTTCCCTTCTCACTTTCTTTCTCTTACTCATTCTCTCCATCTCCCCAGTCTCACTTTCTTTCTCTTACTCATTCTCTCCCTCTCCCCAGTCTCACTTTCTGTGTCTCTTCCTGTAAAGGAATGTGGGTTTGAATCCCTGCAAAGGAAATCTGATCTGACTTATTAATGATATTTAGTCACGATCGTGCCCAGATCAGAGACAGCTACTGCCCAAACCCCAAACCGGTGCTCGGGGCAGTTCAGATCAGAGACAGCTACTGCCCAAACCCCAGACCGGCGCTCGGGGCAGTTCAGATCAGAGACAGCTACTGCCTAAACCGCAGACCGGTGCTCGGGGCAGTTCAGATCAGAGACAGCTACTGCCCAAACCGCAGACCGGCGCACGGGGCAGTTCAGATCAGAGACAGCTACTGCCCAAACCCCAAACCGGCGCTCGGGGCAGTTCAGATCAGAGACAGCTACTGCCCAAACCGCAGACGCGCTCGGGGCAGTTCAGATCAGCGACAGCTAGATCAGACGAGAGCCAGGGGACGTCTCCCACCGGTCTCCACTGGCCATCCTATAGCGCGTCCACCAGGACTGTGCCAGCTCCAGTTTCAGACCTCGCGAGTCACAGATTCAGATTCAGAACAGACATACAGACACAGACAGACAAACGGAGACGAGCCGGCTCACCTATCAGTAGATCGATCCTAGCAGATCCGTTGACCAGGGGTCTGGTGGGCTTGGGGAATCCCGGACGAGCCCCCAGATGTTATGCCCAGACCGTCTGTTCCCCAAAGAAGACCACCAGAGTCCAGAGTCAAAGCCAAGCGGCAAGGATCTTTACTACAAGTTCGAACCTGGTCCCTCCATTCCACAGTATACAAGAGGGCCCCGAACAATGCGAGTGCTTGCTTTTTTATAGCCCGAAAGTTACAGGGGAACAAAGGAATTCTTTCGGTTCCCGCGCTTTCAGTAAAACCTTGAACGGCTGTCTCCTTATCGGAGACCTTCCAGGTGCTGTTTGTACTGGGCTCAGGAAGTTTGAGAGATATATGGCGATATGTGGTGGGATGGGAGGATGGGATGTGTTTGTACTGGGCTCAGGAAGTTTGAGAGATATATGGCGATATGTGGTGGGATGGGAGGATGGGATGTGTTTGTACTGGGCTTGTTTGTGTTGAGCCCGGGGCTGAGGAATGTGCCTGGCTCCTCTCAGTACAAAAACGTTTTACAATGACAAAAATGCTACTACGCTACTTGGATGTGGACATCTAACACATTGTACAATCCAAACTGTATGAGGACACCTTTGGTTTGGTACACATTTATCAAAGAGCTTTTGTAAGTTAGGTTTTGTAAGTTGCAGGAGACAGAGGTGGAATAGACATAGTTTTGATCATTAAGTTGCTCATAATGCACTACAGCTCTCTCTATTTAATTGTTGTGTTGTTTCAACAGAATTTTCAAAGAAAACCTTTTATTCACTTTCTCACTTGTCCACTTAACAGATAACTATCACATCTTTTAGATGCTAAGCATTTTTCTAATGCCTCAGAACACAATTAAAAATACAGTCAGGAGCTTGTTATCATCTATCATCATTGTCATTTTTATTATTTTGCTAATTTATTCGGTGCTTACCGTGTGATAGATACCCACTGGAAGCTTATAATTACGATTTAAATTTATTATATTAAATATGTGCCAGACACTTTAAGTATGTGATGAGGAATGAAAGCTTTAAAAAAAGTAGGAAGGATTTAAGGTAAGCATGCAGAGGGAGTAGAATTTTTCTAACTAAAAGAACAGAAGAATGATGTTCGGCAGGAGGAACATCTAACAAGATTATGTGTTTGGCAGAAGGAACAGATAACGAGTTTGCGTGTTTAGCAGGAGAAGCGGCAAGTGAAGAAAGTAAGACCCTTGAGTGAACATTGCAGGGTTTATGAGCAGTTCACTTTTGCTAGTAAGAATAGTGTGAGATGTGAGAGGTTGAGAATAAGGTGACTACTTTGCTGAGGCAAGTTTATGACAGACTTTTTGATTCTATAGAAATGAGTAGATCTTATCCTGTGGGCCATAGGAATTTTACCAGCGGAAATGCTTTAAACTGCAAATACTAGAAGACCAGTGGCTGAAAGAGTAGGAACCAGAGTTGTTTTGGTTGTTCAGTGATATCCTAGAATCCCACTTTTCCCTCTTTCAGCTGTGCTGTTGGCGGTGATTTATCCATGCTTCCTTTCATGGTTGGCTAATCCACAACAGCTCCAAACATCTTACTCTCAGAACACAACATCGCAAGGGCTGTTTTCCTTCACATGTTTCTTTAAAATAGGGAGAAAACTTAGAAGCAAGCAGTAGACATTCTGTAACATTGTATTGGCTGGGTTATACCACATGCTCATCCCTAAACCAGGCACTGGGAAAGCAAATGTAATTATGTGGTTAGTTTAGAATAATCATTTCTCTTTTTGAAGCTGGGGAGAGGAGCGTTGGGATGATAAATATCCAAACAGACTTGTGTTTCTTCTACAAGGAAGAATAAGGAATGGCTATTGGTTAGGGAGTCAGCAATGTTTGCTGTAGGGACACACTGGAGAATTTGAGCAGGGGAATCATAAGATGAAATATGAGTATTAAGGCATTCTGATGATCATGTAAAACAGGAGTTGGCAAGCTTTTCCATAAAGGAACAGGTGGGAAATATTTAAGACCATGTGGTCTCTGTCATATCTATTTAACCCTGCCATCATAGTGTGAAAGCAACCATGGATAATATGTAAACAAACAGGCATGACTGAGCTCCAATAAAACTTTATTTACAAAATGATAAGGCACACTGGATTTGGCCTATGGCCTATACTTTGCTGATCCCTCAGAGAGGATTGATGGAAGATAACCCTGTAAAGAAACTAGGAGACAAAGGAAGCTTTTGCAGTAGTCAGCTATAGTTTTCTTGTCACACATCCTTGGACTAGTATCAGTCTGTTATGAGGTTTTCACCCATTCTTGGTGAAATACAGTTGGAAATCTCAGTTATTTTAAAATGTTGGTCTTCTCCTTGGTGTTAGGCTTCTTTCATTCATTTTGCTTAAATTTTTTTTCATATAAGATAAAACAGGCCGGGCGTGGTGGCTCATGCCTGTAATCCTGGCACTTTGGGAGGCCGAGGTGGGCAGATCACTTGAGCTCAGAAATTCGAGACCAGCCTGGGCAACATAGCAAAACCCTGCCTCTACTACAAAAAGTAGCTGGGCATGGTGGCACATGCCTGTAGTCCCAGCTATTTGGAAGGCTGAGGTGGGAGAATCATTTGAACTGGAAGGCAGAAGTTGCAGTGAGCCCAGATTGCGCCACTGCACTCCAGCCTTGGTGATAGAGTGAGACTCTGTCTCAAAAAAAAAAGAAAAGAAAAAAGAAAAAACGTTGATATTTGGTGGGAGTTTTTTAAATGCAAGCCATCAGTTACGAGCCCATGTTTAACTAGGAAAAATAAAAATAAAATATAAATATTTTGTAAATGTTTATATTCCCAGTGGCAGTGGGAATATAAGGCAGAGGCAAAAGAGAGGTATGATCAATACGATTTAGTGATGACTGAATGTGAAAAGTTTGTGAGATAGGGAGAAATCTCACATGATTCACAGGTTTCCAGGTTATACACTAGCATTTAATCTGCACATGAGGAAGGAATAGGAAATGTTCTGGTGGGTACAGAAGAGCAAAGAGCACCAATTCGGCAGGAATGACTCATTTTTTTCTATGCATGTCAAGTTCAATGGAATATCCATATAGGATATTTTTAATAGATAATTGGATAATTGGCATTGATACCTGGGTAAAGCTTGAGAGTGGAGATGCAGACTTTGAATAATCTTATTGTAATTATTATGCAAAATCATAGGTCATAAGGAACTTGTCCACAATGGGAAAGATGTAGAATGAGCAGAAACCAGTGACAAAACCTGGGAATAGGAACATTTCCCAGAGGGAAAGAAGTTAGTAAAGAAGACTGAGCAGTGGATAGAGAAAGAAAAAGTAGGAGAGAAATCAGAGGAAGTGATGTTACAGAAAATTGTTTAAAATGTGAGAATTTCGAGGAGGGAGTATTGATTCGAACAAGGTTACTGAAAAGTAAATTGAGTTGACCTTTTAAAAGCTGTTGGTGGTACCTTTATCAAATGAGCAGTTTAGAGTTGTAAGGTCTGCTGATTATATGGTTGGTACTTCTGGTATCGAAATATGGACGAATCCACCTACCAAGAGCCTGTTCACATGCCAACATTTTCCCAGAATTTTCAAAACCTAAAGGGCATGTATCAGGAAAAGTGTGGTCTTGCTTATCTGGTTTTTGTGGAAATACCTTTTCAGCGCTCATGTTCTTGATATGCTTTTCTGGATGTGTTCCCAAACAAAAATCTGGCAGCGACAACTGGAAGCCACTCTCAGATGCGCATATCCTTTCTCTGACATGCAATCATCGTGACACAGCTGTGTTTCAACAGAATTTCAAGTTTTGATCAGAAATAGTTTACAGACCAGCAGTGTGCAGAAACTGACATCTT